CTTTTTAGTTATCGGAAATGGTTTCCATGTGTGTATTGAAGACACCATGTACTGCACGGTGAGAGGAACAGGCTAGGTTTTGCTTTTTGTGTGAAAACAGGGTTATGAATGGAACTATTCAAGGTAGTGCCAGCATGTGCCTGACATGTCTTAAATTCAACAAAATTTGGCAACAGAATTTGGGGATTTTTTTTCCCCCTGAAACTTGATTTTTATCCAGTTTAATTAAGTGAAAAATAATAAAATTTTTGGCCAACACTTTCCACAATATTTTTAAAACCCCTTAGGAGTCAGTATGAAAATACTGTATGGAAAAATGGGACCTTTTCACACAGGACTAAGAAAACAACACTTTGCTTATGGGCTGCTTTTTATTTGTTTTGTTAATGAAAAGATGTGGTTCTTGTAGGTAATGTGAGTAGAAATTCCCTCCCTTTCCTTGACCCCCCCTCATCATCGGCTGCATTCCTTTTCTTCCCCAGTTTCAGAATCTTTTTGAATAGTTTATCTCTGCTTCAGCTTTCTCTTAGCTCACCCAAACAGGAAATTTCCAAAACACAAAGTGTTTGGCCCGTTTCTTGGACATCTTTCTGCAAATACAGTGACAAGGAGGATTGCCACTTTTTCAGAAGTGGACAGGGTGGCAGCTGCCCCATTAGAGCCACAGTGAGAAGGAGGGAGTGAACCAACTGGCATGAGACAGGAGTCGTCACAGTGGTTTGGGCTGATATTCCCATCTGGGATGGGATAGTGACACCTTTCTGAGCACCTGTTGTGTGGTAGCAAACATGAGCTGTGAGGGATGGGTGATAGCACCTTGTATGGCATTGCTTTTGCTCTTCTTGGTCTTTAAGATGGCAACACTTCTCTGGTGTTCCACTTTTCCACTGAAAACTACTTCTCTAAAGAAATACTTTCTGTTGCTAGCAAGAACCTGTGTGCCTAGGGGTTTTCCCACTGGACAGGGTGGCCATCTGGAAGCACAGAGGTGCAGATGACTTCTGTATCTTGGGACTAGCTCCGTCTGTGATGCAGATGGTGACTGTGTTCTTCAAAAGGATGAGCTGAATGAAAGCAGCTGGTCTCTTGAAGGTTTGCCAGAGTCAACCCCCTAGCAAACTCATCATTTGGTTCCTTCTGTTTTGCAAAGAGACATCAGAGAGGCAAGCCAAGACAGTAGGTGAAGAGGGAGAAGATAATTGACATCAGCAGGGAGATGTGGATTAGCCAGTCAACCACATGCAAATATTATTTTAAGTTAAACTATTGTATTAAAACTGCTAGAGACATGGTGGGCCAAGAGTTAGATCCAAGAGCAGAGGGGAAAGGGGTGAACAAAGCACTGGCTCAGGGATCCGGCAGTGGGAGGCAAAGCAGGTGCAGTACTGCGTATCTCCAAAGGAGGATGAAACCTGAAGAAATGGGAAGTCAACAATGCTAATGATGCCAGGAGACCAACAGCATCAAAAGCTATCCTGTAACTTGGCTGGAGTGATTGATAGAAGTCTGTAATTAGGAAACTGTGTTCTAGCTTTTTTTAAACCATGGCAAATTTTTAGTTGTTTGATCTTTTACTCTCTCCCTTCTCCCACCACTGTTGCTTCAGAAGAATGTGGATGTGGCTCAGGATTGCCTCCCACTTCTTGTCATATGCATTTTGCATTGCTTCAAACAAAGGAAGGCACTGGCAGTACATTAGCTGCGTCTTGCTAGTAGCACACCCACATTTTTTTCCTTCTATAAGAGTTGATTGCCCAAACACTTACACTTTTGTAGATGAAGAATTCAACCAAGGAGGAAATATGCTAATTATTCTCTAAGCGCTAATAACTGCAGTTTACTGAAGTGCAGCAGCATTGTAGAAATGACACTAATTACCCAGTTGCATCTTGACTTAAACAGAAATGAATGAACATTCAGAGACTGTGTAAATGTAACAGTAACTTCTGGAAGCTCTGGGTCTAGATGAGCAGTGTATGGCAATCACTGTGAATGCTGTATTGCTGACTCCAATTAGGATTGAATGCAGCCCTTTTCCCATTTACAGGCCTTTGTAATGCTGCAGGCCTCCTCCCTGTAGGCAGCAAATACAAAGCTGTTGATACATACTTATCACCGAAAAGGAAAGCAGCCCCCTGGCAAGCTCACCCCCTTCTGCCAAACAGCTGAGGCAGGGGGTCTGTGTGTGCCCAACCACCCTCCTCCTTTAAGCCTCCTCCTACCCATGGTGTCGTCATCCCAATCTGCCATTTTCCCTGACCCAGCCAGTTATCCTGGACAGGCTCTGTGGCCTGAAATGTCTTGAAAAGTTTTATTTTGTCAGCTGCTTTCATCTTTAAAATCTTCTCCATTATCTTCTTCAGGTAATTCATCAGTAGATCAACTGCTCCTCACAGGAGTGTCTGGAGCATACTTTAATTGCCATGGCCTCCCGAAATTGTCCCCAGATTCTTACAGAATGTATGTTGAGAGAAAAACTGGGTGGTTTTTATAATGATATTTTTTCATCCTCTAGCATACAGGCTTGGGGAGGAGTGGCTGGAGAGCTGCCAGTCAGAGAGGGACCTGGGGGTGCTGATTGACAGCTGGCTGAACAGGAGCCAGCAGTGTGCCCAGGGGGCCAAGAAGGCCAATGGCATCCTGGCTTGTGTCAGCACTAGCGTGGCCAGCAGGGACAGGGAAGGGATCTGACCCCTGTACTCGGCACTGGTGAGGCCGCACCTCGATGATGGGCCCCTCACTACAAAAAGGACATTGAGTGACTCGAGCGTGTCCAGAGAAGGGCAACGGAGCTGGTGCAGGGTCTGGAGTACAGGTTGTACGAGAAGCGGCTGAGGGAACTGGGGGTGTTTAGTCTGGAGAAGAGGAGGCCTCATCGCCCTCTACAGCTCCCTGAAAGGAGGGTGCAGAGAGGGGGGATGAGTGTCTTTAACCAAGTAACAAACAATAGGACAAGAGGGAATGGCCTCAAATTGCACCAGGGAAAGTTTAGACTAGACATTAGGAAGCATTTCTTTACAGAGCAGGTTGTTGGGTGTTGGAATGGGCTGCCCAGGGCAGTTGTGGAGTCCCCATCCCTGGAGGTGTTTAAGAGTTGGCTCAACATAGCACTTAGGGATGTGGTGTAGTTGGGAACTGACACTGTTAGGTTAGTGGTTGGACTGGATGATCTTCAAGGTCTTTCCAACCTAGACAATTCTGCAATTCTGCATTTGTTTGCAGAACATCTGATTTCTTGATTATATCCCTAGTAGAATTAAAGAAGAAACTAGCCACATTTAGAAATCTAAATGGTGAAAAATGTAATATGCTTTAAGAAGAGCACTGCTAGAAACTTCAGCTGGAGAATTTCTAGGTTCAACAGAAAGTGAATTGCAAGTGAAGCCAGTGAAGTCTGTCAAGTAAAATACAGCAGGTTGGTCAGTCATTTGTTTTTAAATGTTTTTTCCCAATGTTTAAGCACAATTAAGAAGAAAATATCTCATGCTTGAAGCCAGCATTGTCTTCAACTGTGTAGAAATACATAATTAGACAGAAAACTCTTTCAAAGTGCTTATAGAAAGAGCTCTTCTAGCTGGCGGACTGACTGGCTGTTATTCCTCAAGGTGTGTCAAATGCATTTTACTGCCTGTGTAAACCCAGAGGCAGTGTGATTGTTCGGGTCAGTGGTAAGTGCCATTGTGCTCCTAGCTGATCACCTTCTGCTCCACTGTGTATTAACAGCATGCAGGATAAGGGTCAGCAAGAGTGGGGGTGACTAGCAGACAATGGTGCCCTTGTTGGGTGGCCACTGAGTTCACAGGGTTTGATCAGTGCCATTTGCTTCTCAAGACCATGCCTCATGACTCACACATAGAAACACATGTGGAAAGGGAGACGGAGACCTTAGACATTGAGTTTCTGTTTTAAAATGTTAGTCAAAGTGAATAGATATGTCACTTTTGGTCTTCAGGAATTAGGAAGAATTAGCAAGTTCTTTTTGAAGAATAATTTTGAAAATACCCTCTTTTCTTCTGGTGTTTCATTTTTTTTGCCTTTCAGCAGTAAAGAATTATTGAGAAACTCATTGGCATGTTACCAGATTAATCAGAAGTTCCTTCAGACTGCTCATGGGAAGTTAAGTAGGCTGCTTGGCCAGTAAAATACCCATACCTGAACATAAATAGTTTCTTTCAATACCCTCCTTGAGAGCAGAAGTAACACATCAGGGATAAATATGAATCAAGTGCATCTGCACGGCAGATAAAAGCCGTGGGAGGGAGGAGATCATGACTCTGGTCCCTGTCATGCTCCTTGTGGTGGTCTGCATGCCGTGGGAGTTGGAAACGCTTCCTGTCTCCTAGGTCCAGTTGCATGTGGGGTTCCATGTGGGATGCAGAAAGACCCCATGTCTTTCCAATACTGTGTAATTCTACCTTATGTTTGATGACCACGATTGATCCACTGAGAAATGAACATTCCCTGCTGTTGTCATGTCCTTTTTCCTAACTTGGGATGAGTCACCTACTCTTCCTGTATGTTAGCATCTGTTTCTGCATAATGGGGGCAGCAATACTTTTCATCTGTAGAAGCATTATGATATTTTCTTTAGGTGTGGAAAGCATTTTTAAAACACCAAGATGATAAGTGTTGTGTGCTGCATGTGCTGCAAACCTTTGAAGAACCTAAACTGCCAAATCATTAATAACTCAGAAATCCAAAGCTCACTTTTAGTGGCAAACCAGGACACAGGCATGAAATGATAAAATGAGGATAGTAAGCAGGTGGGAGATAGTTAAATTAAAGCTTGTTGTTGTTTTAGGGCCTTGTCTTGCTTTTGGTAAGGTTAATTTTCTATTTTTCGTGTTAGTGATTTGCCTTGCCTTCCCACAATCTTAGAAGTTGCTTTAAACTCCAGTTTAAGAAGTGCTAGGATTTACTTTCCAGATGGTGTTTACTCTGCAAAAAATAAAATGTTGCTTTTTAGGATGTCATAATAGTTGTGTTCTCTTTTATTTTAGAAATCTTCCAGAATCCCTGAGGATGACATCAGGTTGAGAAAAAACAGAGACCAAAACTGTGCCAATTTCTTGGAGCCAGCTACTGTGCTTGCTACAAAGGAAGAGAAAATGGAAATTGAAGTTCCAGTTTCTGAACATAAAAGCATCACCACAGTGGCTTCACCACATCCCATAGACAATCCAACCCACTTCTTTTCCCCTGCTGCCAGCCACAATGGACTTAAGGACAGGCATGAATCTCTGGACAGTGAAGTTGCTAAAGAGATCAGATACCTAGATGAAGTGCTGGAAGCAAACTGCTGTGATTCTGCTGCAGATAATACCTTTAATGGGACATTCTCCCCTGAACCAAGTTCAGTCTCCATTATGGATGGCTCAGGAGCATCTGTCAATGTCAATAATGATTCAGTACCCAGTGAAAGGGAAGAAAATGTAGCTGACAAGCAGGCATCCTTGGTAGTTGAACCACGTGAAGCTGGCATAACAGATGAGAACCTGAAATCTAACGGCCATTCTTTGGGTGGACTGAAGGAAGACACTAGGGAGAGTCTGAAGGTGCCAGGAAGTCCCACTTCTTCAAACAGTTCTAGAAGATCCTCTAAGGATGGAGAAACAACTCTTACAACTCTTAAGAAAGAGGCTAAGTTTGAACTACGAGCTTTCCATGAGGACAAAAAGCCCTCAAAACTCTTTGAAGATGAGGAAGAGAAGGAAAAATACAGGGTCCGCAAGGTGAGACCATCAGAGGAAATGATGGAACTTGAAAAGGAAAGAAGGGAACTCATTAAAAGCCAGGCAGTCAAGAAAAACCCCAACATTGCTGCCAAATGGTGGAACCCTCCCCAAGAGAAGACCCTGGAGGATCAACTGGATGAAGAGCATCTGGAGTCCCACAAGAAGTACAAGGAGCGCAAGGAGAGACAGCAGCAGCAAGGTGCAACACCATCATCCCCCAAACAGGTCAGCTGCTCCTTTGTACCACCAGAGCCAGCCAGTATCAAAAAAGAGGACATTGTCACAGAGCAAATTGACTTCTCAGCTGCCAGAAAGCAGTTCCAGCTCATGGAGCATTCAGGTCCATCTCAGGGTCAGGCCCCACCGAGACGGTCAGGAACACCCAAAATGTTCTCCATCAAGCCCTTCTACAAAAGCCTCAATTCTCCTCATGTAGACAGGCCACCGTCCTCAGTGACAAGACCCATTTCAGTGTGTGGGCAAACAGGACAGTTTGAGGGTAACAATGCCACTGTTGTCAAAGCACAGAAGGTCTCCTGTAGCTCAGATGATGATACAAGTGCTCAGACTACCACTGCTGACCCAATAAGAGAGTTACCATGCAGTGATAGCCCCAGAGCTGGACAGGCCTCAAAGCTGTGGGCAGAGGATGGAGAATTCATGAGTGCAAAAGCAGTCTTCACGGTGGTGAAGGATGATGGACAGGGTGTGCTAGACCACTTCCCAAAGTCAGGCAGCGCCTCTTCCCCACCAGAGGAGCTTGACTCCGGTTTGGATGACTTGTCTGTCAGGTCTCAGGATACCACTGTCTTGGAGACCCTTTCCAATGACTTCAGCATGGATAACATCAGCGACAGTGGTGCCTCCAATGAGACCATGAGCGCCCTGCAGGAAAGCTCTCTGGCTGATTTCTCCCTGCCTCAGACCCCTCAGGCTGACACTCCGGCAGAGTGCAGGAGCGAAGGCATCTCCAAGTCATTCAGCGACCCGGGCTGTGTCTCGCCTTCCTCCACCTTGGCAGACTCCATGCTGATTGACCACCAGCTGGAGTACCATGCTGGCCTGCTTGTTCAAAACGCCATCCAACAAGCCATAGCTGAGCAGGTGGATAAAGCAAACTGCAAGGAAGAAGAAATCCCAGTGGAAAAGGAGATACCAGTCAAAGAGCAGCCAGCCCCCACCAGCCCAGCTCCAGGCTTCAAGGAGGAGCAGAACCCAATGTTTGAGCCACCCCAGGTGTCTTCACCTGTTCAAGAAAAAAGGGACACCATACCAAAGACTTCAAAAGAGGAAGACTCAGGACTCAGGGAAGGGAGGAGTTTGCAGCAGTCACCTGTGTACTCAGCCAGTCAGCCATTCCTTGTGGAGGAAAATAAGCATGAAGTTAGCTATTTCAGCAAATATTCAGAGGCAGCTGAGCTGAGGAGCACTGCATCCATCCTGGCCACACAGGAGCCTGAAGTGACCGTGGGCCCTTTCAAGTTACGGTCGAGGAAGCAGCGGACTTTGTCGATGATAGAAGAGGAGATCAGAGCTGCCCAGGAACGAGAAGAGGAGCTGAAGAGGCAGCGGCAAGGTCTGCAGGTGACACCAAGCCCTGTGATGAAGAGCGCACCACTCATGCCCACCAGAACTGTGTCTTACAAAACTGCACCAGGTAAGACCCAGAGCATCAGAGGGGAAGTGAAATGGGACTGAATAGTCAGGTCAGATTCAGCTTTTATGACATTTTTGAATGAATACATCGTTTTGCAAGGAGTGTGGGGGTTGTCATGACTTTTCCTGGAAACTGCAGGCAGGAGGAGGACATGGGACAACCCAGGTTTCTGTATGTGAGCACACCCGTGGATTTTTTTGTTTCTTCCCAAATCTAGTGCAGAAGTAACTTACATAGCATTGCTGATCATCATTAGGAAACCCTGCACTGCATTCATCCCCTGGCACGCTGTAGCGTGACATGCCTTTCACTGTGCTACTCAGACCACCCACTGAAATTTAGGATCATCACAAGGAATGACAACAACGGTTTTTGCAGCTGTGTGACTATTTGAAAGACAAACATGCAAAGCATTTTTAACAGTCTTTCTGTTCTCTTGCATGTCATGAAGGAAGTGCAGAGGTAGTGGAGATTTACAGATTCGGGGGCTTTGCATCAGATTTCATTTTGCATATGTTTTCCTTTCTGTTTTCAGGTATTTCTTGGTCCTCTTAATGAACTTTATCAGGTAAAATGATCTTCAGAGCTGTGAGTTGCCATGTAGTTCAGCTGGTGTCGTTCACTGCTGAATTAAACAGGTGTCACAAACAAAATGCTTAGTAGATTCAGTAGAAGTCCTCTTCTGACTGATCAGATTCTGAGTCCTTGTGGTAGTATTCCCAGCAGTTACAGCATATCTCTCTCCTCCTTCCCCTTTTCAAAATACAAAACCAAATATTCATGCCTTCTTAATATAACATTAAAAAAAAAAAAAACCAAACCAAACCACATGCCAGGCTTATTTCCATGTAGTGATTTTTATGAGCGTAGACCTACATATGCTTTGCAAGTACTTAAAATTTTTTATTAAGTGGTCATTGTGAACAAGTATTAATTTTACCCAGAGTACTTAAATTCTATCCTTATTTCCACTGGCATAAATCTGAGCCAGTGATGCTTCCAAAAATTGTGCAGAGTAATCCTTTTCTTTTGAAAGTTGTGGCAGACTTGATTAAGGTCTGGATTTAGTCCATTACCCAGTCTGATTGTGAACTTGGAATGTTATGCAGCACATAATAGCTAATACTTGGTTTTGCTTCTTCTGCAAAGAGGATGATTTTAACTTGTGTTTCTTGCCAAAAAATGTAGCAGATGTTGATAATTTCTCTGAAGTGCTATTGTTATTACTCCTATAGAACAACACTTTTGATAGGGAGTCTCTGTAAATTGAGGTGTTTTCAGCAATGTCTGACAAGATGTGAGAGACAGGACACCATAGACCTCAGCTCGGAGGACCTGTGTAAAGGTGTGCTCATGACCACTTTTAAAATCAGAATCATCTGTAGCTGTAAGTGCTCTAAATGAGGCTGATAATGGCTGCTGACACTAATGTTTGTTTTAATGGAGCATCTGGGAAAACAGAGTACTTCTGTTCATTCTTATTTCCCTGCACAAGGCATTTACTTTGTGTCTGTTAAAATGTTTGTTGTAAGTTGTATTCTAGTGAGAATGAGAAACATTTATAATAATTCATTCCAGACAGTTTCCTTTAAATGTCCAACTGCTTTATGTTCAAGAAAGAAAATGGGGATCTATTAGTTAATGACTCAAGCTACTGCAATCTGCAGCTGGTGACAAGGCAAAGAATTAATTTATAGGAAAAGATGAATATGTGGCAATGTGTAAGATGTAATTGATCAAAAAAGCCACAAAGAACATTGCCAAAGTTAAACCTTCTACTTTCAGTGCTTTTTAACAGTGGATGTGCTTAGCAGAACTCTTGGCTGGCAGAAATCAGCTTGGCACCCTTAGTGTTGCAGGCTGTATACCCTCAAGTCCTCCCTGATGTCCCTTTAGCCAGTTATGTTGCAGCTAAAGCTTGCAGGCATCCTTAGAGAGAAGGGATACCATGTAACTCCTTAGAAAGTTGAAGCCACTTTTATTTTAGTCTTTACAGCATCCTTGCAATATTTACAAAAAGAGGCAAAAGGTGATGCAGCAGAGGCAATGTGAGAAACTGTGGACTAGGGTATTGTTTATTAAGATTTATGTTAAGCTCAATGTAAAGGCTAGGCAACAAAAGATATGAAATCGCAACCCCATATAAGGACATATGAGTGAGGGGTCAGAAAACGACCCCCTAACAACAGCTGAAGCATGCAGAGTATCTCCACTACTTCATGAACACGGAAGTAAAGATGTATAAAAAGGGACTGTTTGAACTGCTCAGTACGGCAGTTGGCGGAGCGCAGACTCCCCTGCCGTCCAGCGCTGTCTTTGCTCATATTCTACTTGCTATAATTAATAAAATTTTAATTGGATTATGATCCATTGTGGTCTCAATTTATAACAGCAACAAAATCTGGCTGTAAAGCTTCAATGCAGCCAGTTACAGAGGTGATTTACAGAGAAAAAAAAAATCTACTTGTGGTAGGCATGGTTAGGAATATGCTGTAGAACATGTCTGATACTGTAATCTGAGTATCTAGTATCATCATTTTTTCATATAGAAAAATAATAGTAATAATTCTAACAACAATAGTAATACTAGTAATAATAAAAATTATGATAGTGATGAAAAGAAACAGAGGTACGACTACCATGAAATTGTGTTTCCCAGAGAAAGAATTGGCACTCTTCTTCTAAAATCAGGATACCTCAGCAGAAAGGGATTAGGGGGTCAAGTCTGCATCTGAAAAATCTGCTCCTAATCCTTAAATGGGGAAGTGTGAACTCACCAGAACTCTTTTGAGAAGGTGCAGTAATTAATTACCTTAATTTGCAATGACCTACCTATCAGGTTGCTTTTTGGTGGTGGCCTGGGTAGAGTAGCTCTACTAGAACTCCTGGTGGTCTGTGGTTATTTAATACTCCTGTGCCACTCCACTGTTTTGAACTGTCAATATGTGGATAGCAGAAACACAAACCACAAAAAAAGGCTGCAGTGAACTGAACTGCTAATTTGACTGAAGTGTGGAAGATTAACACAATTCATGTGGGTGTATGTGTGAAATAACTGCTAATTACTTTAGATAGCAAACAGGCTGTTTTTACCACCCTGACATACAACTTTCATACAGCTGAGGATAACACTACATTTGGTGTCTGCCAACCACCCCTCACAAGCCTGTGTGTGGTTCCGAGTAATAAACTTCTGTATTGCTAACAAGTGTCCTTTAAAACTGTTTGGGATGCTTTGAAGCAGCCTTGTAACCCATCTCAGATAGTGGAATGACAACTATGTGTTGTGTGCACACAGGACAAGACCCTCTCCAGGGGGAGACCCTCTTCTGGAAGAAACTATGAGCATTCCTTTCCCAAAAACTTGGGGTTTCCTGCTTGAGGAAACCAAAGAAAGACCAAAAAAATGCTTGAGCATGGCTAAATGGAGAGTCATTGTGGATTGCAAAATACCTGTGGAGCTGTATTTTAATTTGAATGGTTCTTGTGTTGTTTTGATGCAACACCTGCTGCACTTGGCAAGGTGTTGAGCAGCTGCATAGCAAGCCAGTGGTTTTCTTCTAAAATGTGCAGGTGGTACACCATCCCTCCTGGGCAGAGCATCCAGGTCTGTTTGATACTTTATGTGAACTGGTTGATGAGTGTGTGACACGAGAGAATCCAGCATACATTTGGTGGTGTAATTCCCATGTTCCTTTTATTAGGAGTACTTAGAATATGAAGAACTTGTGTCTAACTTCCTGTAGTGCCTGACTCGAGTAATCCTGTTCATCAAAGGAGGTATGAATATCATTACATCAGGGGTCTTGGTTCAGTGAAGGCTTTTCTCTTGAAGAGAAACCCTTTGTCAGTATTTGCTGTCTGGATGTGACATGTGGAAATCCCTAATGCAAGAAGCCATGCCTGGGAGAAGCTTTCCTGAAACTGTCACATCCACCTTTTTGGTGTTTGTTACCAAAACATTGCCAAGCGAGTCAGAAGGCACATTGCACTTCCTGCAGTCATCTGCAGGCACTCAGACCCATCTGCACGTGGATCTGGGAGAGCTGCCCACCAAGCAGTCATCTGATGTTGTCCTCAGTTGATGAACTAGATGAGAGCATTTCAGTGGATGGCAAAAGCCTGGGTAGGGAATTGTAGTTTAGAGATGTAAATGATGGGGTACCCTTAAATTTCAGGTAACTGTTCACTCCAGAGAATGGGGGGTGGGGGTAGTGCTGTCTTCTTTCTTATAGAATCATAGAATGCTTTGGGTTGGGAGGGACCTTAAAGATTATCTAGTTCCATCCCCCCTGCCATGGGCAGGGACACCTTCCACCAGCCCAGGTTGCTCAGAGCCCCGTCCAGCCTGGCCTTGAACACTGCCAGGGAGGGGGCAGCCACAGCTTCTCTGGGCAGCCTGTGCCAGGGCCTCACCACCCTCACAGTGAAGAATTTCTTTCATGTATCTACCCTGTTTCAGTTTAAAACTGTCACCCTTGTCCTATCCCTACACCCCCTGATAAAGAGTCCCTTCCCATCTTTCCTTTAAGTACTAGAAGGCAGCTGTAAGGTCTCCCTGGAGCCTTCTCTTCTCCAGGCTGAACACCCCCAACTCTCTCAGCCTGTCCTCATGAGGGAGGTGCTCCAGCACCCTGAGCATCTTTGTGGCCTCCTTTGGATGTGCTTGAGCAGGTCCATGTCCTTCTTATGTTGGGGTCCCAGAGCTGGAGACAGTACAGCAGGTGGGGTCTCACAAGAGCAGAGTAGAGGGGGAGAATCCCCTTCCTTGACTTCCTGGCCACACTGCTCTTGATGCAGTCCAGGACACAGTTGGCTTTCTGGGCTGTGAGCACACATTACTGGCTCGTAGTCAATTTTCCATCCACCAATACCCCCAAGTCCTTCTCCGCAGGACTGCTCTCAATCCACTTATTGCCCAGCCTGTGTCTGTGCTTGGGATTGCCCCGACCCATGTGCAGGACCTTGCACTTGGCCTTGCTGATCTTCATGAGGTTTGCACAGGCCCACCTCTCCAGCCTGTCCAGGTCCCTCTGGATGGCACATCCCTTTCCTCCAGCATGTCAACACCACCACACACAGAGCTTAGTGTTGTTTGCAAACTTGCTGAGGGTGCCCTCAATCCCATTATCCATATCACCAATGAAGATGTTAAACAGCGCTGGTCCCAACACCAACCCCTGAGAAATGCCACTCGTCACACTCTCCATTTGGACATTGAGTTGTTGACCACAGCTCTGAGTGTGACCGTCCAACCAATTCCTTATCCACCAAGTGGTCCATCCGTTAAATCCACATCTCTCCAATTCAGAGACAAGGATGTTATGTGGGACAGTGTGAAATGTTTTGCACCTGACACCTTGCTTGCTTCTCCTTGCTTTCTTCTCCTGAATAACAACTGTGGAGCATAAACCAGTGTCAGAGAAGTCACTTCAGACTGAAAACTGTTTTCCACTTTCATTTTTCATTAGTAAATACCTACACTGAAACTTGTCACGTTCAACCACAGCCTGAAGATACTTCTTGTATGGTGGGAGGAGAAGCAGAAACTTCAGGGCAAAATATTTTTAGTATTTGTGACTGTCGCAAAATTTTTAATGCCGTGTATACATGTAAAGAATAAGGATCAGGTGTAATACATACGTATGAAACCCCTTTTTAAAAGGAGAATTTTGAGAAAGCCTAGAGCAGAAATGAATTTACAGAAGATACTGTTTCCTTACCCCTTCATAAGCACCGACATGAAAAAAGCAAAGTTCATCATTCTCTTCAAGGATTCCTCTGAAGTGTTCATCATTCATCTCCTGAACACCTCCAGGAGTGCTTTAACAGCATACCAGCTCATCTGTCATTTGCTCTCTTACTCTCTCCCTAGTGGAGAATGTGTATGAAGTGAGAGGATCTTCGAGAGGTTCTTTTTTTAATGCTTGTTCATTTGTATGTTTGCATATTTGTGTTGATCACCCAGTGTTCGAGAGGACCAAAGAAGCCCACCTTTCACCTGGGTGGTAATAAGGCTCCACATTACAAGAGGGCCTTTTTTTTACGTACTTAAATATTCTCAGACTCCAACACAGACTAGCCTCCCCAAACCGTCTGTCTTGCTGAAATACATTATTTTGAAAAGTTTTCTCTGCTGTGCAGGTGTCCTTAAAAAACACCAAGAGCATGTGTAAAATAGTTGCTCTTACTTGTGTGAAGCCCCATTCTTCCCATCTCCTTTGTACTTTAGTTAACACTATATGATGGCCCTTGGTATCTGCTTGTTACTTGGTAGTGGCTCAGGCCCTTGTCCTAAGGTCTCCCCTTGGTCACTGTTTCTTCTTGATATTGCATCAGATCAGCTGAGCATCCTTCCTTAGTTTGTAGCGAGCACTTGGACACCCACCAGCTCCACAGGGTGTGTAAGTTATCATTACAACCCCTCTTGCTCCCAGGAGCTGTGCAGAGGTTTTGCTTAGGAGAAAGCTGATTTTTTCCCCACTTCTTACATGTCTTTGATTTTACAGAGGTGTCTGGCTATGTCTTGCACCAGACTGGGACACAGCAGCAGCTGCCCGTTCCCTGAGCTTTCCCTTCCCCTCCCCAGGGCTGAGAAAGAGTGTTCCACATAGGAGCAGCTCCTGCCTGCCCCAAATAGCAGAACAGGCAGGGAATGAAAAGAGAAGCTTCCTACTAGATCCCTGAAGCCAGAGAGTGAGTGGAGGGAGCCATCACCAGAACTAAAGCCACGTAATATTTTTTGGATTCCCTTTGAAAGAGAAGAAAAAATGTAAGTGTATAGGTGAAGATTTGGGATGCTATAGCCTATACTCTGTCTTGCAACAGCTCTAAAGGTGACCACAGTGGACTGTGTTCCACTGGAGGAGGAGATACTGCTGGTAACTGATGTTAATTTGCAAGTGTGACCGTCACGCTGCCGTTTTTGCTGGTATCCCACAAGTGTGATCCATTTCCTTTTGAGTCAGAGCACAGTTCCTTTATTACTCAGCTTGGATTTGGGCAAGGACCACCAGCAGTGTCTGTGTTCATCAGGTGCGAGCAGAGGACTGTCGAAGTAGAAAGTGCCTGTGATCATTATGTCTCATGATGCTTTTATGCTGAATGACTCTTCTGCCTGAGAGCGGTACCTTCTCTGGATGAAAATCTGCCAGAAGAAAATTAACCCAGCAACATTTCTAACACAGTCTGATCTGACAGAACAGGTCTACGCTGGACTGTACTACTCTGGATCAGGTTCATGAAGTTTTTCTGTGTTTTTTCTGGGAGCCCTGAAACCTTAGACACCCCATCATCTAACCAGAGCCTCACTCATGGTTGTGCTGGTTGCTTGCCTTTCTGACACTGTTGGCACTGGTAGGATCTCTCCCTTCCACCTGCCTACCTGTTCTCACAAAATCTTGGAAGTTCCCAAAAGTTTTAGGAACTTTTACTCCTCTGTGAAAAGAGTTGAAATGATGCTGTCAATTCCTGAGTTTTTAGTGGAATTCAAACACTTAATCAGAGAAAATGGATGATGCATAAGCATAATTTTCTTGTGGACACAAACCATAGGTCTCGGGTAGGTCCGTAGGTCTGAGCATCCTGTGATCTGTCTCCATCCCTGGGGGAAAGCAAAAGCTGGGCAGACACCTGAGAAGCCTGATTTTTCCTGCATTACTTGCATACGTCCAAGACAGCTACTTAGTAATTTAAGAATGAAGTAATATAGCAAGATACCTGACCCTTAATCAGTTCATGCATTTTCAGCAGACTTTTTTACCCACTGGACCTAATGAGCAACAATGACATTTGTTCTTACTCTGTCCTGCTGAGCAATCCAAGCTGTTACATGTGGGTGCAGCTGGGCAGCTCAGGACTGACTGTTGGCCTCTCCTCTGGCAGCGTATCTCCGGGTTCTGTGGAGCTGGTGCTGGTGCCACCATAAGAACCTGGACCCATCAAAACTGCCCCTTCAGTCTCTGGTTGGGTGATGTAAGGGAGACTAATTACTAGCCTCATCCCTCCACTGGCCAGCTGAGCTAAGCCTGTAACGAGAAACTAGTGATGATGGGGTTTTCCATGCTGGTCAGAAATGAAACAAGACTGGGAAGGGGATTTCTTGTAAAAAAAAACTTTACAATGTCGACTCAGGTTTCACTTCTTCCTTCAAGAATAAATCCTGCCGCTTCTTACAGGAGGTTTCAAGGCCGCTTTCTAGTGGCTACCACTGTCATGATGCTGTTGGAGGAGCAGCTAGGGCTTTCATTTGTCTCCTCAACAGAAGTTTCATGAAAGTCTGCAGGATCCTGTGGATTACTTATTTGTAAGGGGGTTGGGGTGGGTTTTTTTCCCCTTTTTTTCTTTCCCATCCACTGAACTGTCTTATTTCAAAGAACTGACATGCCATGGAAAAGGGAACTGGATTTTTGTTCAGCATTGCTTTTGCCTGTCGTAGCTGAGCCCTGGACCTTATTACCACACTCATGACCTGACACTGTCTGTCATTTTTCCCATCAGGACAAGGTGGGTGGCTCACCCTGGATCAGCACCTGGTGATGAGAAATGCAGGCTGTCCTCTCACAAGAAGTGTGGGTTGTCTACCTTCTGAGCTCTCCCGCAGCTCATCACAGTGGTCTTTCTGCTCTGACCTGCCTTTTACCCACTTCTTCAGCTGTGGTCACTCTACTTAACACAGGCTCCCCTGGGTGAAATGAGCTCATTCAGAGAGCAACCTGACTTCTCTCTGACTTTCCTCCCTCCAGGAGACTGGAGGGCCCCTTCTGAATGCAGGGTGTGTGGGACAGAGACTCCATCCTGCTCCGCCACAGGTGTTCCTCCAGGAACACCCTCTGCAACTTGCAGGAAACAGCTGCAGGGAAGAGTAGCACCAGGGACCAACCTGCAGCCTTTCATGATTACAAAGCAGATGAAAAGCACTGGAAGAAGAGAAAAAGCCGGCAATGCTTAACAAAATGCCTTCTTTGGACATCTCACGCATGGTCCCTGGCATACAGTGGTGGCATCCTGTGCATTGTATTGTCTGAGCCAGAAAAATATTCATCTTGCAGTTTTCCAGAATCTTACAAACATTTCCAGATAACTGAGATGTGTCCTGCAGGAGGGAACAGGGGTAATTCACTCAGATACTACTGTAAACCGTAGTGGTGAGTTAAATTTGTGTTGTATCATTTTTTAACTCTTCTAGGTTTTGTAGAAAGATTTTGTAGTGTTTTGATGTAGTGGATTTCTGGAAGAGGGAGAGTGTTTTAAAAGCCTGTGGCCATCCTGATTTACCAGATTGTTTCATAGACTTAATTCCAAACTGTTTCTTCATTAAAACCCTGCTGAAAATGCTTCTCCAGCTGTTGTCTTCCGGCAACAACTTGTGAGTCCTCCAGCTTAGAAAGGGTCATTCCTTTTCATGTCATTGCAGGAAAGATAGAGAAGATCAAGCCTCCTCCATCTCCCACCACAGAAGGCCCCGTCTCGCAGTCTGACCTCCCACCCGAGGAGCCTGCGGGAGCCCAGCGACCCAAGAACCTGATGCAGACCCTCATGGAGGATTATGAAACACACAAAACTAAGAGACGAGAAAGGATGGATGACAGCAGTGTAAGTGCACTTTTCATTTTTTGCTCTGTGATAGAGGCTGTGACGCAAGACCAACATTCAGACAACAAAAATGGTTATTTCCCCAGAATCTGGTCAGACCACCTTGCAAGTGTGCAAGGATTTTAACATGTTGTAAGGGCCAGTGTGTTTGAAATGGAAGAATGAGGGCCAGTGGAGAGTGTCACTGCAAATATCAAAGGCAACAAAAAAAATTTCATTTTAATTAATTAATAGTAAGGGCAGGAGGTAGTTGCCTTGCAGTTGTCAGACGCTATTAATTCACACATTACAAGACCCTCCAATGGGTTATTTTAGTGGTTTTTTTGAACTTTGTGGATCAAGCAAGTATTCTTGCCTGTGTTTGTAGACCCCTAAAGTCCCACCATAGTGTGCTCAGGATTCAGTGTAAGTGGATAACTTCCCCAGAAACCACCCCTTGCAGAACTCGATTGGGAATATCTCAGAAATTAACTGGATCCTTCAATGGGCAGCATGTTGTTTCCCGCTGAATTTGTTATCTTTCTTCCACAAACAGAAAATCAGACAGAATTTCAGTTTGTGAAATGAGTGCCTGCATTTCAGCCATTACAGTAGTAGAGTTTAACTCAATTAAGATGTTCTTTATTAGAGGTACTAATAAGAAGAGCTATGAATTTCATGGTTGGAAGTATGAAAATTCAGATGCAACTGTTGTACAACCTGTTTCCCAACAGAGCACAAGGTGTTTTTTATTCAGACTCATTATCACTGTGGGCAATGAGTGCAGAAGGTAGTGAGATGTGTGATACAAAACTTCCTAAATGGACATTCTCTAGGCATTTCCCAGAGATGTCAGACAATGACCTCAGTGCCAAGGAGCTCATGCTCCAAACTTCTTTCTAGTAATGTTCATTAAAGGTAGAATTTCATTAGGTGTTTGGAAGTAAAGGTTTGTAACATGAATACCACTGGTATTCTGGCAGCTTTTAATCATTACTGGTGAATATTGCACAGTTGCATAAGATACTTAAAATCAGAAGGAATGCAACGTGGAGGGGTCCTGTTGCATTTCTGCTGGTTAACTAAAATGTAATACGAGAGATGATTCAAATGTCAACAGATTGATTTCCAGTGCATACCAGATACTTTATGGTCCCTTCTACTGAAACCATTGAAAAACAAGATCTCATCATCCATCGTGCTCCTGGAAGCCACTCTCTGGTTTCCCCTCCCTCCCCAGAGCACCCCGTGGAATGGGATGGCTCTACCTGCTCTGGTGAGCACTGTTTTCTGGCATCCCCACAGAGGATCTCTTTCCCTGAAAGTGCTCAGAGGCTTGCAGGAAACACGTCACACATTCATGCCCTTTGCAGAAGCCATGAGAAACTTTAAAACAATGGGGGCATAAAATTCTGCCGTGCAAACCAGAACTGGTCCTTGGAAGTCCCACAGTGAGCATCTATCAGTCTGGTGGCTTTAAACCTTGGCACAGCGGAGAAGCTGCTCTGCTAAAGAGGTGACACTCAGCTGGTATTCACCCTGTGCTTTTCTTCCACCCCTGTAAAGAGCAAAGGTGACTTGCACAGCCCATGAAGCATTGGCTTGTGGCTAAAATCTTCTCCCACAGCTGTGATGGTCACATGCTGTTTGTCAGGCATGTTGTAGCAGACAAAAGACATGTAAGATGTCGTTATACCTAACTCCCTCTGCTCAGTTACCTGAAGGCAACTCCTTGTGTGCTTGCAGAGCTGCACACATGCCCTCTAAACAGCAGGGTGGCCACAACTGTATAGTGCCTTCTGCAGTTTGAAGTGAGCCCAGATGTCCTGACCAGAGCACTGGTCTGGGCAGTGTCTGACCAAAGAGGTGTGCTCTGGGTGCCAGCTCAGCTGTCTGCCGCTGCTAAAGCTGCTGAGGCACTGACCACCCAGAGATGTGCTGCCAGACCATTGTGCCAGTCAGGCAAATTATGGGATGGATCCTTTTCTGGGACAAATTGTCAAGGCTTCAGTGAATCTACAGAGCCCCAGTGCACATAGAAGTCCTGCAGTGTTGCGGTTTGTTGTCATTCTCCTCTTCTGTAAGCCCACTGCATACAGCCAAACAAGATTTACATTCTTGCTGCTGCCTACCCAAGATCCTATTAGAGGGCAGTGTCTTGCAGAGCCCCGGGAGAGCTTCCGTGAACCAGCAGGTGTGTTTTGTTTCTCTTCCCTGCCTTTTTCTGCTCTCCTTTTGTAAACAACTCCCACCATTGACAGGGGAAAGATAATTTGAATAAGAAGTGCTGCAAACTAACCGCTGTTAGTTTGAGCTAATATTTTACATGCCAGGCTAAGCAAAAATTATTTAAACAACAAATAGCTTTGATTTGTCAGTAGAGGACATTTGACCATGTGCTCAGGAAAAACAATTTCTGTAACTAGCGAAACAAAAAAGCAGATCACTGCCCTGTTTTTAAAAATATATGAAACATAGCAGGGGCAGCAGCATAAACATAACCAGACAGGCAGCAGCCACTTAGAGCATTAAGTCCTGAGAGCTGAACATGGCTCGGCATTGCTCTTTGTGAGCAAGGGGAACCAGAAGTTTCCTCTGGTACTGGGAGGAGTCAGGGTTCTGTGGCACCCGAGGCTGAACAGAGCCAGAGCTGCTACAGGGGGGGGTTGCAGCAGCCACGATCTCCTGAATCGGATTGTGGAGAGGTTTGGTGTCCGTGGAAACTCCTCGGTGTATGCTGAGCACACCATCAGTACTAAAGTATAGAGCTTCAGTTTCTCCCTACATAAGACACACCAAAAGACAGGAGGGTGGTTTCAATAGGCCATCTACCCTGTGTCTTCTTTAAACATCACTACCTTCTGCTTTATGTCTGGCTTCAGTGGCTAAAACGTGGCCACTCTGGCCAGGACTTGCAGGTTTTGCCTTTCAGAAACAGAGGGCAAATCAAGCACATCTGCTCTTGGAAGAACTTCACTGCTCAGTCAAGGGGGCAGTTTCTTCCACAGAAGATGTGTTACAGTAGAGGTTTCAACAGGTGAGAAAAAGAGAAAAAACAGCAGCAAGAAAATGGGTCAAGCACTGATGGTAAACAAGACTGAGACTGGCCAAGCAACATCATTAAAAAAACATCAAACTGACAATTATTTTTTTTTTCTTATGACACCAAGTTGCTTGAAATCTAACATTCTGGGATGTGCCAGTTCTTACAATTTCTTTATTTTGTTCTTGTTTCCTAGTTGTAACATTCTTGTTCAATGTATTAATGCTGGTCTTTTCCCTTTCTACCAGTACACCTGTAAATTACTGTCTAGCAAGGTTACTTCTGAGGTACTTTTCAACTGCTTATTTATTTTTGCTTCCTCTTGCATGGTGATTCCAAGTGCATGTCGTTGTAGTTTGCATTTTCATACTGTGTGCCAGTGCTGTTTCATATCAAAACCAGGATGCAAATGTGTGTGTGGGATACTCTCTTGTATCTCTCATCAACAAATATTTGTATGGCTGGTTTTCTAAGCCTTGGATTCCAGTTACAATTTCTGGCATGGGAGGGGTTGTAATTAAAGGGACGGGAGCTGCTGCCCAGGTCTGGAGCATTCCTGAGGTGTGAAATGAGAACTTCTCCTTAATCCCTGTTACTGTTTAGCTGGCAAACCTACACCTGGGATCCAAGCATCTTTACATGCTGAGTGAAACTGCTGTGGCTTTTCTTTGTCTCTGATTGCAATGTATTTAACACTATCAAAATCTCTAGTATTATGTAAAGAATCTTCACACCCACGTTTCATCTGTGGAAGAGTAAGATCCTAGCACACGGCCTCTGTCTGGTGAATTTTGCGAACCTGTCCTTGTCCCTGTCTGTTGTGGTGTGATGACTGATCACGGTCCCACAGATTAGCATCAGCGTTGGTCTTAGAGTATAAGAAACACAGACCTGCTAAAGAAGACGGTATTTACAGTGACATTTGGTATTTTAGTGAGGCAATAACTTGCACAGTTCTTATCCCTACAAAGTGTGACTCTGCCAGAGGCAACAATTTTAAGAGCAGGGAGTTGATACCAACTACACTTTTGCAATGTTTGTTAGGAACAAGGTGCTCAATAATGTGGACATTTCAATTACCTGTAATTTTCTGTGCAGACATACGTGTAAATCTGGACTTCTCTGAGTCACGAACAGATTGTGGTAATGACTGTCATTCATTTGTCCAGCATCAGCATTTTTTTATAAACATGAACCTTCCACTACTTCCCTATTCCGTAACATGTTTTACCACATGAGCTACCTCAAAAGTTTGTGAACATTTTCTGTCCTGGAGAGTAAAGCAAAGTCAAGTCTAAGCCATTTCCTATTCATTAAGTAATTTAGTGTGGGTTTTATCTCACTGATACAAGCCAGTGGTTGATCTTTGTGTAGAGTATTTATAGAGAGTTAATCAGTGTAAGAGCAGTGTGCTTTCAATGAGCTGGTTTTAAACACAAGTTCGGCCTCTTCTCCCCCATAATATCTGCATAACAATCTGTGTTATGATTTATGAATGGTAAGTAGTGATCAGAGAGTTCAATGTGTGAGAGGCAGAAGCTCAGGGGTAGACTTTACATGCCCAGCCCCTGGCCTTCTGCTGGGAAGGTTTGTGTGTCTGCCTTGTAAAATGATAATGACACAAAGAGCAATGACCTGTAAATGAATGTGCATGGATGGGAGAGAGGATAAAGATGAAAAAGTATGTAGGACATAGTGATTCTGTATGCAGGTGAAAGTATGCCCCCATGTTAAGCCCCAGACTGAAGAAGTTATTTGGTTCTCACTGGGAATCTTTAGCTGAATACAGGCAGTTGTTCTATTATAACAGCAAGACTCAAAGGCATAATGCCCCCCTACTCTCTACTGACCCCACAGCTGAGCTGTGCCTCCTGTTCACCACAGCCCTCCAAAATATGCTCCAGTGCAGGCAGGTGGATCAGTTTTAATCGTCGTCAGCATCACTGGAGCTGACCCAGCTGTGCTTGTGTGGACTGGGAGAAGGGGCTAACACGCCATCAGCCCAGTGCTGCTCTGGTAAGCAGCAGGCCCCTAGCAAGGGACAGTAACTGCTGAAGGTGCGCTATTACATGTGGCAAACCACAACCTGCTTTGTGGTTTTATCACCTCCATATTTTTGCAGCCTATGTTAAAATGCATCCATCAGCTGTTTTTAAAGATACCACCGATAACTACCTGCCTGCACATACATAGGTTGGTTTTACCCTTGAAATCTTCTGGTTTGTCTTTAAAACTCTTATGTATCTTCAAATTTACAGGATATTATTCTGAGTTTGCTTAAATCGATCATTCACGCTCTAGGAGATACTGCAGTAAGGTGACATTTATGCAACATAAAGGGCTAATGCTGAGAATTTTTGTGTTACAAAACAGAAGACCAACATACTAGACTTGATAGCAGAGGGCACACAGTCTATGTCTCAATACTGACCAGCAGCAGTATAATACCATTACTATCTTGTTTCAGGTAAACACATTTTTGCCACAGATACCCAGCTCCTCACTGTGCTCACTAGAGGTCTCGTGTATTCAGTGAATAGCATTAAGTCAGTACAGTAAAGAAAATACCTTCATACTAGAGAAACAGATGTTCTTTGTCCCTCAGTAGTTCCAGTTTTATGTTAAAGCATTTAGCTTATCATTCCCAAGCGGGAATGCTCACATCTTTAGGAGCAGGCAGCCCGTTTCCTACCTGTGTGCTCCTGTCTCTGTGCACAGTGTGCTCCATGAGGTGTCTTACACAGTGACTTTCCTGCATGATACCGGTAGATTTCAGACATCCAGATCTTTGCATTTTCTGGTTTTGTTGCTTTTAGTTCTTTCAGGTCCAGATGGGAAGAATCAGTAAAATAATAAGTTCCAGAAAAAATAATTTTGCTTCCGCATCAGTTTTGGTGATACTGTTCAATATAAACTAGCCCGAATTGTATCGTAGTCAGCTTCATTCAGTGGTGGGGATAAATGTGCTTTGGACTAAACCTTATCTGTATTTTGCTTTTTATTCTCTTGCTGCCAGTAAGAGAGCAATTATTGTTACATCTGTTAGAGGGAAACTCAGGACAGGTTAAGTCTTCATCTCTAGGATGGAAAGATAAATTAGTCTTACACCTAGCAGCGGTAGTTGTTTCAATTTCTTGCCCCCCCCCAATCCTCAAAAATAAAATCTCTCAGGAAAGACCCCGCTGCAATTCTTAGTGAGACGCCAGAGCTGCAACAAGAAGATCCACACAGCAGTTTTTTGCAGAGAGGTGGAGAGCATTTTTACAGCCCTTATCTTGGCACATTTGTCTTTCCCTCATACCCACTTCTGCTCTCCAAATTCTTCCTCTTCTATTGCAGCTAATAGTCAAATCACCTCTCCCAGTAATAGCAATTTAATGTAACATTGCTTTTTTCACTGAAGTGGTCTTACTGTTGAGATGTAGCCAGTTTGTCATCCTAAACCCGAGTCAACTGTCTGCTTCATGTTCTTTCAGATTTTCAGTATATGTCTTTGTGCAGTTATGAGCTGCCTGCCTTAGGACACCCTGACCACCACACCTGGCCCCGCCTGAGTGACTCTGCCTGCACCCACTCAGCTGACATGGGGCTTCTTAGTGAGGACACTTATGAAATGCTGAGGTAGCATTTTGTAATGTGGTCAAAATGCAGTGTGTTACAAATCCCAAAAAAAGGCACAACAACAAAAGCAAAACACTCTTCCCTTTGACCTGCTGTGGAGATTCTATGGGTGCTGGACTCATGATGGGTCTACAGACAGACTTGATATCTGCCAAGAATATTTTAAAATGGAGGTCATTTGCTATTTTAGGCAAGTGGCTTCCTGGGTTGTGAATTCAATGCCCCATTGAGGAGTCCCAATTCCCCACTCAGTCATTCCAGTTGGATGCTATAATTACCCCATTGTTTCCTCTAGTGGGTGTAAAACTGATAGAACTGAGTAAAAATAAGGGTTATTTTAGGTCAAGCACTCTTCTCAGTAGATTAGAACAGTAATTCTGGAGAAACTATTCAAAGGGACCTTTAGTTTATTAGTATCTGCTCTACTATTTAGGGGTATTGTTTATTAGTACTAAACCGGACATTGGTACTTGTTTTCCTGCAAAGGCTAAGTCCACATTCAATGGCCTCATGGTATCTGATATAATTCTGAAAACAGTTTTCTTTGGAGTAACCAGTAACATTTGCAGAAGTAGACAAGCTTCTGGGCATATTTGCAGATGGGATATAAATGGAAGAAACCCAGTTGCAAGCCATCACAACATTGTGATTTCCAACAAGGAACACACTGACCTAGAATTGTTGTAAATCATGTAAAATCCATTTTATTTTCAACTGGCATAAGTCTGCAGACCAAATTCAGCAGACCTCATTTAAATATATCACTACTCTGTGACAGTGGCAGTTTTGGTTTGAAACATATGCTGAATTTGCTGGCTTTTCATGTAAATTTCAGTATCCAGTGGGAGAACAGTACTGATTCGCGGAAAAAAAGACTCTACAACTCAAATAGAGTTATAAAGCAGGTATGTTTACTCCAGCTGGGGTGCAAGGGGATTTCTCCACAAAGCTTGCATAACCACCACACACTTTACCAAAAACTTATAGAGTGTCCATATTCATTGGGTTACATAACACAAATATATATATGCATGAGTAGGGCTGGGGTAGTTCTAGAGGCTGGTGTCAGCAGTTTATGTTCTCTTTGCACCTGCCCATTGCCTCCTGGGGGGCGTCTTTGGGGTCTTTGGGAGGAAGGCTTGTAGTCTTCCTCACCTCGTACTTTTCCCCGGAGCATGCGCAGATTCTCTTGGCCAATTTCTTGAATAACAAAAGTGGTTTTCAGCCAGTTTATTTTTCTATCTTAGCTAAGAGAACCAATTGAACTTCTACCATTCGTCTATGACTATCTCTACTCATTAGCAAATTTCCAACTACTTAGTGTCAGCCATCTTCAAGGACAGAGCATAATATTTTGCTGAACATTGTAGCCTCTGGTAGATTTTCACAGTAAACTGTTTTGTTGTGATGAATACTGTAGTCCTTGGTAAAATTTCACAGAACAGTCTAAGCAAGCAGGATTCTTAACAATATTTTAAAACCCACTATAAGTAGGTAAATAAGTTGCTAAACAGTTTTCTATAAGAAAATAAATCTTAAAACAGGTAATCATTTCTCTGTATCAGTAATTTTCTGTGTTTTATTTAATCATTATTCGATACTGGTCTTGATGGTCTCCTGTCTAGCAGTATTTGTCTGTTGCTATTAAAAAAAAAAAAAAAAGTGGGTGGTTTTCCTTCCCCCTTCATTCCTAACCCTGGAGCAGCCACTGTCTTATTTTTCTTATTCTGAGAAGATAATAAAATGATGCCCTGATACCCAGTCCTAGTTTTGTTTCTCCATCGTTCAGTTTGGGTTGTCTTTCCTTGGTCCATGCACTCAGAACACCAAACATGTCGTTCAAACCACTGGTCCTCGTCCCTTCTGCAGAAGGAGCTCCAGTATGCTGCTTACAGACTGATGTCTCAGAAGAAATTTTTTTACTGATTTCGGTTTTTTTGGGGGGATGAATTGTTAGATTTGTGAGCACATTTGCCCTCTACTGGGTGAAATAGAAACTGCTCAGCCCAAGTCTCCGTTTCTGGTGGTTGCTTTGCAAAAAGAGGAGGCATGATTTCAGGCAAAATCTTAGCAAAGATCTGATCTGGACCAGTTTTTCTAGCCCTGGTCAGTGCCAGGAAGCAGATGGAGCTTTAGCTCAAAATCATCTCTGTTGACTGGATTTTGCCTTGAGTTCTTTGGCTTGTTCATAGTCATAGTCAAAAGAAACTAAAGAGGGTAAAGAAATAATAAAGCTGGAAAAACTCCACCCTATGCCCAGCTCCTGAATGGAAATCTGGGTCTTAGCATAAATGTAGAAGTGTGTTCTCACTTCCATAAGCAAAGTTATGCCCTGTAATTTCATTTGACAGTTCAGAGCTGATTTCCCCATATTGCCTGTACATGAGCCACTTGTACCTAGGTACTTTTCCAACCACAGCTTGTCACAAGCTGAAAGAAGAGTTTCTTTAGTCTTATTTGGTTTTATTCCAGTCAAAACTTAAGTCCTCACTACATCTGACTTTCTACACAGAAGAATAAAATAGCATCATCCTTTCTTAAAAGACCAGCTACTCTTCTGCAGTCAGGAAGTATGCAGAGCAGTTTGCAGGAAGCATTAGGGACCGGAGATGTCAGTCATTGTTTCAGTGAACAGTCACATATTTGTTGGTTTGGGTTTTTTTACAATTACTTTTTTTTTTACCTGACTGTTAAACATTTCAAAAGTTTACATCTCTGGGAGGGATGGTTTAAAACACGTTGAGGGCAGTGGACATCAGCAGCTCTGTAGTTTGATCATGGAGCTGTTATTCAGTATCGGTCAGAAAATAACACTGCCATGTGCTTCTGTAAGACCCCCCCCTTCATATTATCAAGTGCTCCATCGCATGAGTCCTCCCAGTTTGCATACAGTGCGGCACTGGGAGCCCTGTGGGAAGGGGTCGCCTGGTTGGTCACTGCCTGCCCAGGAGTGTGGTGCAGAGCACCCTGGCTTGGGGACCAGGGGCAGCTGAGTGATGTGCTGTGTTCTCCCTTTCTCTCCTGACCAGGTCCTCGAGGCGACCAGGGTGAACCGCAGAAAGAGTGCTCTGGCGCTGCGTTGGGAAGCTGGCATTTATGCCAACCGGGAGGAGGATGAATAACTACACTGCAGTGTGAAGACAGCGACCAGGCATGCCGAAACCAAAAAAAGAGAAAGGAAGAAAAAAAACAAACACAAAACCCACCATGAAAGCAGCAGCATTTTAGGCTAATATTTATTAAACACACAACAAACTCAGTGATGCACATAGACACAGAAATGATCCAACTCCTGGCAGTCCTAAAACAAGGAAAAGCCCACCTAGAAAATACCCTCTTCTCCTTCCCTCCATCCTCCCTCTGAAATAGTGCAATGGAGAGGGTGCAGGGGGTGGGAGCCCTTGGCAGGGGGACAAGGGAGCGGTTATCCCCATGGACTGGAGAGGCCACAGGTGCATGGTGGGAGGTCAGCATGGAGGAACGTGCAGCCAGGGCTCACACTCATGCTTCCCACTGACTGAATTGCCCTGCCTTGCCCCCGGATCACCGTTCCCCTAGCAGCTCCTCTCGGACCCGCCTGCAGTTCCTCAGCCTCCCACAGCCACTGCACCAAGATCATCAGAAGTACTTTGGCGTACAAAAAAAAAAAAAAAAAAAATCAGGCTACAAAAACAGCCACAGAACACAACGATATTGCCCTCTGTTGCTCTTTCTTTGAGGGGGACTGAAATGTTGGGTTTGGGATTGGAGTGGGTGGGTGTGGTGGTGGGGGTGGTGGTTTGCTCCCCTGTCTAGTAATTTATCTGTTTAAAAGGAAAAACAAAACAAGGAGGCAGTTACTGCAGATGTACAATCCAGCAGACTCAGTAAAACAGTCCTTGTGTTGCATACACAAGCCATCACAATTTAGGAGTGGAATAGATGGGGATGAGAGCTAAGCCAAATGGATTACCTTAGCTTTAGGATCCTATATGCTTGCAATATCACCTGAGCTCCAGGTTCTCAGAACATATTTACGTAACAAAGTTTCTAAATAGAAAATCTGTATTTAGATCATCTGTATTTTTTGATGGTGGGGAGGGAAGAGAATGGCATATGTGTAAAATCTATGAAGATGGATAATTTGAATTAGAAAGGTAGTGGGAAAGGTATACAAATAAAGAACATTTAATTTTTAAATGAGGCAATAATTGAACTAAGCCAGACTCTGGCCTAGAGAGAGGTATGAAATGAAGAGAGGTAGTTATGTCTTCAACTATATTTATACAACATAAAAAGCCTTTGAAGTAGAGTGCTTTGTGGAAGTCTTCACATTTCCAGGCAACAAAAGTGCTAAAGGGCATAATGAGTTGGAAGGAGTGAGCAAGGAAGATCAGACAAGGGAAGAAAACATTATTTTTGCCGTTCAGCCAGTGTCTTCAGTGCTACAAGCAAACCATAGAGCCTTTAGTTATTGCTTAGGCTTGGGATCAGCAGTGAAGGATTAGTGTGGTTCTGTGTGTGTGTGCGTGCATGTGTGTGCGTGCGGGTGTGTGCATGAGGCTGGCGTACCAGAAAGTGTGTGGCAGTATGTGTACTGATTATTTTCTCCAAAGCTGTTTACCAGCTGTAGGGGTGAGTGCTAATTTTTTTTTTTTTTTCTGAAAGGGGATATAAAAACAAGGCACTGAGTTAATGCAGTATTTGTGATATTAAAATTTGACCCAACATGGTATTTGCATGAGTCACAATTTCAAAGTATTGACCAGTTTTGTAAGCTGACAATTAGGAAAAGAAATGTGGTATTTATTCTTGTGCTTTGTATTTGTATGTAGTATAGAGGCTGCGGGTTTACTCTTTCTTTTCACGCAAGCAATACAATAGGAATATTTTACAGCTGGGAACCATAATTTCTGGACTAGAAATCAACAAGTTCAGGAAGTGATAGAAAAAAAGACACTGAGCTTTTTTCTATGTAGAATACTCTTGTCTTTTTTGTAAACAAGCAATTATTATTTTGACATCTTTTTAAAAAAATTCATCAGACAGGATACTGGTCCTCCCTTAAACCTTTCCTTCGTTTCATGACCTGCTGTGCTGTTTTATTCTCAAACAGTGATCTCATTTAAAATGAGTACTGATACTGTGAACATACTTCTGGTGCTTTTCTTAAACAAACACAGAGCTTGCAACCAAATTATCCCCTCCCCCATCTCACTCCCCACCTTCAGAATGTAATTTCTGTCCATGGACAATATCATTTTGAGGCTTATTTTCAGGGAATTGTAGCAAATAAAATTATATATACCTGTTAACTCAGTTCTGTCATTTGTCTCCCTAAGTGCTACTGAACAGAAGAAAACGCTGCTGAACTGAGTGTTCACTGTGATAAGGGCAGCGAGCTTATCTCAAGTATGCTCTCTAGACCCTGGTGCGTGGGGAGGCACCATGCCTATGAAGGAGTTACATACCTAATGAAGGGGACCCGTTGTGCAGACATGGTGATCGACAGTGAGCTGTGATACACGTCTGCAGGTGGGTTTTTACTGTAAGACTGTAGGAAAAGCAACACCACCAATGCAGCCCTTTAGTGAGGCCATACATCATGTAGCTGTGTCTCTGAGCTCTGCACATCTGTACCAAGAGGAGTCCTGGCTCACTCCACTCTTGGGGAGAGCTTAAGTGACACTGGGAAGAAGGTGTTCCCGGAGCAAAGGACACGGCCCCTTACTGTGCGGTGGTCTTCAGGGTTCCCCCCAGTATTTTCTCCCTGAGACCAGGGCAGCCCTGGGCTGCCTTTCCCAGGAACCTCCATCTTTCTTTAACCTGTTTTTTCTGCCTGATCTCTCACTTGAAGCCAGTGACATTGATCACCCATCATAAGACATCTCTTCATGCTTAGCCACGTCCTCCTCTACTACCAAAATCAGCCCTCAGTCTTTGAAGTGAAAATTAAATTGTTCCTCTGGAAAGGAAATGTGATGGTGGGGAGAGGCCAGGCATGAGTCCTCTGTGCTAAAAACATCAGCCTTTAGCCCCTGCAGCAAAAGTATTTGCATGTATCTGTCCAGGGCAGTCAAACTTTCCACCCAGCAGAGTTTTTCTCTTCCAGAAATTATGGACACTTGCATTCAGCAGCACACATTCAGTGCTGTGGTAACACGAGTGCAATGCAGTTTACTTGCCTCTGTTATTTCATTTGCATGCTACCAAGCTTAGGTGTTTATAAGTATACGCCAGTAATACATATCTATCTATCTATAACTATATCAAATGCAACAAAAGAGCACTATTGCAGAGTTAACTTTGTCTCCACAAAAGAAATGCTCAGATCCTTTCCCGTGGCAAAGACTGGTTTTAATGAAATTGTGTATTGAGAAATAGTTAAGCATTAGCATTTGTGATTATAATCAGTTTGGGGTTACAGTGCAGGTTTTCTGAAAATTTGTTTTAAAAGCTGCCAGTTTGGGCTTCATCTTGCTCCGTACTGACATTATCTGAAGGAAAATACAGTAGCATTGACATGTTCGGCAACCAAAAGGCGGCATCCTTGTCATGACTTATCAACCAGTTTCAACAATACCTGGCTTTCTGTATGTTAACCACTTAAATGTTATCCTGCTTCTGTTTTATAGTGACTGTGAGGCCTACAATGCAAGTATATAATTATTTTCTCATTAAAACAGAAACCTGTGTTGTGTTTCTATAAAGCTTCCTGTTTTGTCATGTTCTTGGAGGAAGGTGTACCCCTGCAAGCAGCACATGGCTGGAAGAGAGTGGCTTGTGTCCCACCTCCCAAGGCAGTTGGTTGGTCTCTCCCCCTGTTCTTGACTCTGCTCTGTCTTTTTGTCTAGAGGCAGGAAAGATCTCCTTTTCTCCACTTACTGGTGTCAGCTGGAGATACAAAGCATCCCCAAGTATTTCTTTCCAATTAACATGCTTGTGGAGAGTTGCAGAGGCCAGATCTGGTTCGTGATGAATTGCACGAGCTTTCTTACCTTGCTTCCTTCACACCTGCAGCACCTCTGCCATCCTGCACAGAAAAGCATGTAATTTCAGCCAGTCATCCATTTCTCACATGCCCAGCTGCAGCAACCAGCCACTTGCCCATTGCTGCAGCCCCTTGCCCCAGTTTTCATGGTCAGCCAGACCAGGTGGGACCCCATCCCTCACCCCAGCTAGGAAGCTGCCGTCACGTTTGCCTGTGGGAGCTAGAAGGTGCAGGAGCAGCAGGTGCATGGGCAGCTGCAAGGACTTGTTAGGAACTGGGCAGGTTCATCCCTCCCTGTGCCAGGAATAGTTAGGCACTTAATTACAAACCTGTTCCACAGCCCATGGGAGGAGGCGGAGGACACATGTGGTTTCAGTGGGAGCTGGCTAGGGCCAAGCGCAGCGTTTCAGTCCGTGCTTGCCGTAACACCAGCCCTCCTCTCCCTTGTGCACACATTATGAGAAATGTCTGTGGAGAAAAGTCAGATGTGGGTTTCCTTTCCAATTAGTAATACTGCTGGAAGTCAGAAAACAGGTTAAAAAACAAGCCTGAAAATGGATCTGGTTTCTATGAAGAAAAACATGTTATTGTCTTTTCAACACAGACGAGGCTTTCTGTCTTCCTTTGCTTTCCCTTGCTCTGTACTAAGAGGGATAATGTATTGGACTTGTTGGCACACAGTGGGAAACGGAAATCCTCCTAGATCTCCTTTGGGTTTGATGAGAATAAAAAGTGGAAACTGAACATTTGCAGGGGAGTGTTTAAACATTGCAAAACTAACGCAGTGACGCCAGTGGGTGGCAGCAGCTCAGGAATTTTTGCTATGTGGTCTGATGTTACCAGCTGTTGGTATTTGTTTAATAACACACACTTATCACATCTAAAATCCCTGTCACTCCATGGCGTAGCCAAAATGGCATGCACCAAGCTTTAGAGAATATTTACAAAGTAGTTAAGGAGTACAAAAGCTACTTTACCCATCATTTCTGCCATAGTCCCATATAAGGTTAAGGACTATAAAAGGACCAGTTTATCCCATATACCAATCCCACTATTTATCCCATATAAATATCCCACTACTTATCCCATATAAGTAGTTAAGGACTATAAAAGAGCCATTTTATACATCATTTCCTATATAGTCCCATATAAGGTGAGGATATTGTGCTTCTGATTGTTGTAGGTGGCTTTAAGAGGTCCCAGCACAATAGCAAAGCAAATGGAGAGACAAAGGATATATGCAGAGGCAGGATTGATTAGACTGCTTTTGAAGGAGGGAGAGCATTTGGCACGGTGTTTTCAGTTGTGAGTGGGAAAAGGAAATTTAAAAAAAAAAAAAAAAACCAACCACAAATGAGGTCTGTAGTGTAAGGAAACCAAGTCAAAGAATCACAAGCTGTAGTTGAGGGACAGGGCTAGGCAAGACCAGAGCTACAAATATTGGCATGGACATTAGCACTAAAGGTGACTTTTGATTATGTTCTAGTAATTGAATTGACTAGAATGGGCAGTCCAGGAAACCATTGGCAGTGTGTGGATCCAGCCCTGCACTCCTGCCCAGGTTAAAGACTGAACAGCATCCCAGTGTTTCACATGGTGCAAGAGCAAGGGACAGGGGCTGTCCTGTCACATTACTGACAGCACAGGCGGAAAAACAAATATTAAAAAAACCAACCAAACAAAAAACCCAGGCAGCAACAGAAAAGCCCCAAAATGCCATCCACATCTTGGGGTCTGCTACTAGCTCTGCCTAAGCCCTAATTAACTGACAATGTAACCCACTGCGTTATTAATGGTCTCCAGGAAGAAAGCTTTTACAGTAATCACTAAATATGTAGTGTGAGAGCTCCTGCTTGGTCCCAGGCATGTGTCATCTCTGCAGTGAATTCAGGGCGCTGTGCCACCAGGAGCTGGAAATGTTACAGGCCTTGTTCCAGAGTGTGGCAGCAGTGATGAGAAAAATCAATGAAGAAAGAAAAAAAGTGTGCAAAGCTACCTTATCACATTCTTTGTTACTGCAAGCAGCACGGGAGTGGAGGGGATTTGTGTGCCAGCAGTGACATCTGGAGGGTGGTTTGCACTGGCTATGGGAAGATCTTCATTTCCAAAGATGTCCCCTGGAAACCAAGTTCTCGGAGCACCCAATACCCAGGACGGATGTGCTGACTGATGCATCAGTCTCAGGGCCCTCTCAGTGCCAAGCCCACTGCGATGGCATCCACATTACTAACACAGCAAGCCCTCTTGGGATCAGCAAAGGATCAGGAAGAGAGCCATGGCACATCTCACAAGCTTCCCAGTGGGAGTAAGTTGGGATGGGGACCCCAGAAGACACTGCTGTACTTCGCATGCACACCCAGTGCCCTGGACTCGTTGCCTCTGATAGGAGATTCTGGAGTGCACCAGACTTCCCTAGCCAGCACTTGTTGGGAGCAATTGCAAACTCTGTATTGCCTCAGCAGGCAGCTTGGTGCAGGGCTGTGACTGGGCATACAAAACACTTTGCAAGGGGCTGTGCCACACTGAACTCTTGCTATGAGGGCTGTTGTTGGCTAGAAAGGTGTATGCAGGGCAGAGGGAAAGAGTAGAAGGCTGGAAACTGTGCCACAAAGACAGGAGGGCTTCACATTCACAGCAGGCAGACCAGGGTATTGCATTTCCCTTGAGATGTCACTGATGACAAGAAGCTGCGGCTCAGGTAGAATGCTTATGTGCAAATGGCCCCAAGAAGCAATTCTTCCTCTTGTAGCATCTGGGAAAGTTGAACTCTCTCGGTGTTACCTTAAAATAAAGTCCTCAAGTTGCAACTAAAACACAAGAAGCCAGGAAAATGCTAGCAAAAATACATGGATGACATAACCCTTATGAAGCAGCAGTTCACAGCACTCAAGCAAGGCTTCAAAAGTGTTTCGAACAAATAACCAGTCATTAGAAAGGAGGGAAGATCTCCAGTCTCTGTGAAGTGTCACGGCCATGAAGAAAGGTGGAGTTTCCTGATACACAATGGGAATTGACTTGCTGGGCAGCTTTGTCACCCCCACATTGTGTGGAGGAGGCAGAAAGTATTCAGCCCTATCTAATTGGAGTGAAAGAAGGAAGGTGCTAAAGTAGGACGCTTGCTCACTCCCTGGAAAGGTTTATTTGTTTCTAGAAGCATGGCTTTGGGGTACAGCATCTGCTCAAGGTGAACCCAGACTTTCACAGTATTACCCTTTCCTGCTCCCTACCCTCTACTATTCCCTTCTGGTCTCCATACAATGCTGTTCACACCCCAGTCATGGCTGTTCTCAGGCAGCAAGACTAGATGGCTCCCATGACTACAGGTATTTCACTGTGCTTCCACTGAGCCTCATGGGATGGAGAAGACCCTTGATCAGACCAAGTCCCCAACCACAGGTCCCTGACTGACCACCACTGCAGGGCCTCATCAGCCTCCAGTCAGGATCCCTTCCAGGCTGGTTTCCTCTCCTCAGGTGTTCAACTGGATTTACACATCTTTGCCAAAGCACCCCATGAAAGATGGATAAACCCATGAGCTAAACATTAAATGGACCAGATCCAAATGTACCAAATAACTTAGATACCTAAATAACTCTAAGGACCTTGTTCTTTGAGGGCTACACATCACTGAACCCAGCTGGAATCCCATGGATTGAGCTTGTGCCAAAGCACTATAAAATGATGTGTCTATGTTACTGGGGTTGACTTGAAAGGGTGTTGGGGTTGAGGAAGGTGAAACAAAAATCTTCTCTTGGTTGTGTTACTCATGCCAAAAGGGGCATAGTTACAGCTTTTATTTAATGCTGTGTTTGAAGAAAACAACTGAGACAAGCTCCAACCATGGAGTGCTGCAGAGAAGGCAGGCTGAGCTTGTATAAGGTGGAGAGGGCTGTTTTTAAAGAGAAAGTTAATTGCAAATTGTGGGACTTGATGTATAAAAAAGTGAAAATTTCTGTCAGGAATGGAGGGAGAGGGGAAGAAATAATGCAGGTCAGACAGGAGAGGTATAAACAGTGGAAAACATAGAGGAAAATCTTGCTGATGGGAATTTTTCATGCAGGGAGCCATTTCTGAAGCCAGCTGAAAGCATATTCAGACAATTTTTGAGCAGGGATGGAAGCTATATAGCAAAAAGCATAAATGCCCAAGCTCTCTGGAAACCAGACAAAAAGCTTTGCCAGTTACAGCATGGGTCTCACATGCTGCCAGGTCCAGACTGTGGGGGTGCAGGATAAGGTTCAGATCAGTTGTCCTTCTTGGCCACTGTTTGCTGGGTGAGACCAGCAGGAGTCAGGAAATAGCTGAATTATATCATTGCTCATGAGGCCCGTAATTTATTTATAATATTTGAGTTTATAAATTAAAAGATAAGTCAGTATAGTCTGTTTAAGCTTTACAGGATGTTTCCAAGGATTATCAAGATGCCCCAACGCTAAAGGATCAAACCAGCATTTCAATGACCCAAAGGGCCTTATTTTTTGACTCTTGTTTAATTTCTTGTTCCCTTCCTGTATACAAATATTAAATCAGTGTGGTTTTAAATGTAGGGGAGGTCACTCTCTCAGTTTAGTCTCTGGGCATCTGTCTGCTGTGCCCTAGGCAGCCCTGGCTATGTGTCCTTGCAGAGGGTGCCTGAAAGCTCATGGCCAGACATGACTTGTTACCCAACAGCTCCACTGGCATCTTGGAAGCGACATCCAACACAAAATCCTGAAGGTG